TTTGTTTTTGCTCGAAAAAAACCTACAACAGCCCAGTTAGAATATTATCTTGGTGTGAAAATGCTATCTAAATGGAGACAGAAAGGCAAAACTGATTTATCTATGTACCACTAAAGTGCATTGTCTCACACTTGCAGGAAAGCGGTGGATTGCTGTTCAGAAGCAGGCAATCTGGTGGTCTATGTGTCTCAGGATTGCACAGGTAAAAGGTGCTTCAGAGAGGATTGAGCCGGCTTGTCCACCATGATCTTCCTTGGGAGATCATGGTGGAGGTGTCTGTGCTGTGGTTCCCACAGCTTGTGACTGAGTTATCTTTCTGGTTCCCTTATAGTGTACAAAGGAGATGTGGCGAATCTGGCCAACAAGAGCGAAGGCAGGACAGCATGGGACCCTGGGGCAGTGTGGAAAGCAGTCATCATCCTGGTACCCATGCGGCTGGGGGGAGAAGCTTTTAACCCTGCCTACGTGGACTGTGTCAAGGTGATTTAGGAACTGGTGCAAGGCAATGGAGCTACAGGACTTCAGTGGGCACTCCCTTCTTGGAATTCCTACTGATGCTTCACTTTTTCCCTGGGTGATCAGAAAGGAAGAGACAGTGCTAAAGCTACCTTTTGCCCATGGGATAGAATGAATATGTGATGTCTCTTCAAGAAGAATTGTGTATTATCAATGCAGCAAGTAGTTCTGGTGTTGGGGGCAATTTCCAAAAAGGGGAAAAAACATACAAAATGGTAAAGCAGCAACAATAGTAGCAGCAGTTCAGCAGATCAGAAGCTTCGATTGCCAGCAGTAGGGAGCTTAAGCAATATGGGAGCAGAGTCAAGCATTAAAGCAGGGGTCATCAAACTTTTTAAATAGAGGGCCAGGTCACAGTTCCTCAAACTGTTGGAGGGCCGGATAATAATTGAAGAAAGCATGAATGAATTCCTATGCACACTGCACATATTTATTTATTTATTTATTTATTTGAACTTATATGCCAGAGAAGTCAGCCATAGCAGAGCACCTGATGAACCAGCCTGGACACAGCATATTAATTTGAGAACACAGAAATGCTGGACCACACCAACAACCACCATGTCAGACTACACAGAGAAGCCATTGAAATCCACAAGCATGTGGACAATTTCAACAGAAAGGAAGAGACCATGAAAATGAACAAAATCTGGCTACCAGTATTAAAAAACTCTAAAATTATAACAGCTAAACAACAGAGAGGAAAAAACCAGGCACAGATTAACACCTCCCAGCAACAGATTTTCCCTGGCTCAGGCAGGCCTTCAAATGCTAATGAAGGTGATCAGCTAAACATTCACACCTAACTGCAGCAGGGAAGAGCTCCTTGCCCCACCCCAGCCATTCCACAGATATATAAACCCATTTTTCCTAATTCCAACAGACCTCACTACCTCTGAGGATGCTTGCCATAGATGCAGGCGAAACGTCAGGAGAAATGCCTCTAGAACAGTGATGGGCAACCTTTTGAGCTGAACCTAAATATAAACTTATTAGTATTTCAATGGGAAGTGTGGGCCTGGTTTTGGCGGATGAGATAGGATTGTTGTTGTTGTGTGCTTTCAAGTAGTTTCAGACTTGGGTTGACCCTGAGTGAGGGCTGGGTAAATGACCTTGGAGGGCCGCATCTAGCCCTCTGGCCTTAGTTTGAGGACCCCTGCATTAAAGGTTATATACGGCTTTACTTAAAAGAACTACATATCTAGATAGGAAAGTAGATCAGGGTCTATCTAGCTCTCCCACAGTAGATATTTTGTCTCTCTCCATGTTTACAGGAGAACAGCAAAATTGAGGACTCTGGCTTGCCATTGCTGAGAAAAAGGGAAGGATCAGTCTAACAAACAGGATATAGGAGGAGAGAATAAAGTGATAGGGAGACAGAGAAGCCAATGAAGGAATGGCTTTTTCTTGTGAGCTAACTCTACTACCTATCTAAGTCCTTGGCGAGGACTATAAACTTGTGCTGAATGTGGTTCAGTTCCAGCATTCTTTATATTCTGTGGCTGAATTATGGCTCTCGTGCAATATGGGAGATCAAGCAATAGTGGGCCAAGTGTGGCTGGCCTAAACTTGTCCATCTAGGTCAGTGGTTCTCAACCTGTGGGTCCCCAGATGTTTTGGCCTACAACTCCCAGAAATCCCAGCCAGTTTACCAGCTGTTAGGATTTCTGGGAGTTGAAGGCCAAAACATCTGGGAACCACTGATCTAGGTTTTGTTCCATAGCTTTTACTTGTCCAGTAAGTACTCTACTTCCCAAAATAGTTGGTGAGTACCTGGTATGCCAGATCATTTTACATTAAGACTGGCTTCCTTTCAGTCTTGGGCAACTATGCAGAGAAGGGCTGGTTTAAAGGTGGTATGCTGACATTCTGAAAGGCCAATCTCACCATTTTGTCATGCAGGAACTTCTGAAGCTAGAATTCTGCATTGGGATCATTGGCGGGAAACCACGACATTCACTCTACTTTGTTGGATACCAAGGTAAGAGACCCCATGGCCAGGCCTTAAAAATGTCAGATATTACTGTTCTGTCGTGTGCTGGGCCTGTAAAGAATTTCCTTTAGAACAGGACGTGCAACCTTTGCCCAGCAGGAAGCCAGGGAGCCTAAAGAGAAGTTCTCAGAGGGCTTTCACCACAAATAGTCTTTAGATGGCTTGTGAAGTACAACAAAGTCCTATATTAATGAACAAACAGAAACTTCTCTTGTCTTCAGTAAAGTTAAACAAATGATTCCAGGCTTTTAGGCAACTGGTGAATTCCTAATCTTGCCCACGAAGGACAGGCAACTGTCTTCAATAACTTCTTCTTTAAAGGAAAATCCCCTTTTTAACTTCTCCCAGGCTGACTGTAATCTAACCCTTACTGATGTGGGCTCCGCTACCGGGTCGAACTGCTTCTCGAACACCGAGTGGACCTACCAGTAAAAGCTTAGATGTTCTCCAGCTGGAGTTCTTTGGTAAGACTGTTCTCTCCTGGAAAGTCTTAAGGGTTGAAGCTTTTGTACAGGGGAAGCTTGCACACGTTCTGTACATTAGCTTTCCTTGCTGAGACTAACTAAAAAATGGCTCCCTTCCCTTCCCAATTGCCCTGAGCAAGGGGCGGAACCAAACTTAACGATGATGGACAGGTGACTTGCCCTATGACTGCACCAAAAGAAGCCACCTATCTGCAGAGTCCCTGAAACCTCGGACTGCAAATAAACATTTAATACAAAGCAAATAAAGTTGGAGCTCCTGATACAGCTGTACCAGAACAATTACCATTTTTAATAAATGTAGCATATTTTTGTATTCTAAGATGCACCCCTCCCCATATAAACATCTGCATAAATTGGGTGCATATTAGAATTGCAAGCGTGTTTCTGCACAGATAAAGGAAGCTTGTTTTCCTGTTGGTGGTGCGGAAATTAGTGTTACAATCAATAGTGCCTTGGAACTTTGTATAAACATTTTGTAGGTATGTACAGTTTTAAACAATGCAATAAATCTGATTATTTATCATAGCTAAAGTAGGCCAGTTTAATCAATTGAGAACTTACACTGTGTCTTTTTTTTTAAGTTCCATGAAATAATCAGGAAGGAAATGGATGAGCTATTAGGAATAAATATAGAATGGAACAAGACTCAATTTTTCACCCAGAAATTGGAAAGTAAAGGGAAATAATAAAGAAAGTGAGGAAATAATAAAACATAGAGGCAATCAAAGCCTCAGTGGCCCTGGGCTGGAAGGACTACAAGAAATGGGATATAAAAACTTGGTATAAATATCTAATAATAATAATAATAATAATAATAATAATGTATTGTCGAAGGCTTTCATGGCCGGAATCACTGGGTTGTTGTAGGTTTTTTCAGGCTATATGGCCATGTTCTAGAGGCATTCTCTCCTGACGTTTCGCCTGCATCTGTGGCAAGCATCCTCAGAGGTAGTGAGGTCTGTTGGAACTAGGAAAAAGGGGTTTATATATCTGTGGAATGACCAGGGTGGGGCAAAGGACTCTTGTCTGCTGGAGCTAGGTGTGAATGTTTCAACTGACCACCTTGATTAGCATACAATGGGCTGACTGTGCCTGGAGCAAACTTTTGTTGAGAGGTAATGAGATGTCCCTGCCTGCTTCATCTCTGCTTCCTTCCAGGCACTCAATCTCGGCTCATGAGATAACCTCTTGAGCACAGCAGTCAAAGGACAGATTGGGTTTGGTTTTATATAGCTATATCCCTCTTGAGATTTTCAGTAGCTTCAAGTGGAACTTGAGCCACAAGGATGGTCCAGGATCCCTCAATGACTCTTGTCCCCACCTTCACTGGTCTTCTAGATGATACCCTTCTGTACCTGGATCCCCACTACTGCCAGCCTTTTGTGGACACTGCAAAGGAGAACTTTCCCCTGGAGGTGAGCTATGCCTTTTGGACTTCCGAGACAATATATCAACAAGTACAACTTGTTGCTACTGCTTCTCAGTAGCAACATTTAAACTCATGATGAACTTGCCGTCCCCTGCCACGTGTTGCTGTGTCCCAGTCTGTGTATATGTATTTTGTGTGTGTGTGTGTGTGTGTGTATGCTATCATGTCCAGCATTTTTAAATTTTTTAATCATTACATTTGGCCCGGCCTTAGTTTTAAATGCGTTGTGGTGTTATTGTCTAATGTTTATTGCTATTGTGTTAATGTTTATTGCTTGTTTTTTGAGTTTTATTTATTGTTGTATTTGTTATGCTGTTGTTTTATTGATTTGTTCGGCCTCGGCCTCTTGTAAGCCGCACTGAGTCCTTCGGGAGATGTTAGGTAAGGTAAAGGTTGTCCCCTGACATTAAGTCCAGTCGTGTCCGACTCTGGGGTGTGGTGCTCATCTCCATTTCTAAGCCGAAGAGCCAGCATTGTCCGTAGACACCTCCAAGGTCATGTGGCCAGCATGACTGCATGGAGCGCTGTTACCTTCCCGCCAGGGCGGTACCTATTGATCTACTCACATTTGCATGTTTTCGAACTGCTAGGTTGGCAGAAGCTGGGGCTGACAGCGGAAGCTTACGCCGCTCCCTGGATTCGAACCTGCGACCTTTCGGTCCACAAGTTTAGCAGCAGGTTTTTTATTATTATTATTATTATTATTATTATTATTATTATTATTATTATATTACCATATTTACTTGAATCTAATGCTCACATCTTTTGACTAAATTACACAGCCAAAAGTGATGTGCGCATTAGATTCAATGGCACATTAGAATTGCGCATGTAAATCCACCAGTGCCCCTCCATGAGGCTGAGGCTCGTAAATTTGTCAACCTCCGCCTGATGGAAGGCATGGCTTCCCAACTGAATGAGGCCTTCAAAGCCTTCCTTTTGGCTTTGAAAATGTCACAAATGAAGCTTTAGTTGGGAAGCGCAACTTAGCCTGATGGATGGATGTGGCTTCCCTTTGCCTGTCACCACTTTGAGGCAAGTGGTGAATCTAATTGGGAAGTCTGACTTGGCCATGGTAGTCCACGCTCTGGTTACATCCCGGATTGATTACTGCAACTCGCTCTACGTGGGGTTGCCCTTGAAGACTGCCCGGAAGCTTCAGATGGTCCAGCACTCGGCAGCCAGGTTGCTAACGGGAGCGGCACTCAGGGAGCACACCACTCCTCTGTTGAGCCAGCTCCACTGGCTGCCAATCTGCTACCGGGCACAATTCAAGGTGCTGGCTTTAGCCTATAAAGCCCTAAACGGTTCTGGCCCCACTTACCTCTCCGAACGCATCTCCACCTATGAACCGACTAGAACATTAAGATCGTCTGGGGAGGCCCTGCTCTCGGTCCCGCCTGCGTCACAGGCGCGCTTGGCGGGGACGAGAGACAGGGCCTTCTCAGTGGTGGCCCCTCGGCTATGGAATGCCTTACCGGCAGACATCAGACAGGCACCTTCATTGCTGGCGTTTCGGAGAAAGGTTAAGACCTGGCTTTATGAACAAGCGTTTGGTTAAGCAGTGCAACCAATCAAAGGAAGACGGTAAATGGAACATAGGAATGGCACAAGGATTATGAGAACGGATCTGATTTCACTGAGGCGTTATGTTGTGTTTGTTGACTGTCTTGTTCTGATTTGTTAACTGTTGTGGATTGATGTTGTTGATCCTGTTTGTCGCACTTGTTGCGTTTTAATTGCACTGACATTGTTGATAATTTGTACCATGTAAACCGCATTGAGTCGCCTGTCTGGGCTGAAATATGCGGTATAGAAATAAAGCAAATAAAAATAAATAAATAAGTAGTAGAATGGCCGATAGGCAAGAGGAAGTTGTATGTTACATTCGACTTCAAATCTTGTTTTCTGCAATGTGCACCTTCAAAATTGAGATGTGCATTACAGTCAATGGTGCGTTATGCTTGAGTAACTACAGGTATTTACCGATCTTTCTTTTCCCAGTCCTTCCACTGTAACTCCCCCCGCAAAACAGCCTTCACCAAAGTGGATCCCAGTTGTACCATTGGCTTTTATGCCCGTCACAGGACAGAGTTTGAGGAGCTGTGCTTGCACTTGACACAGGTGAGGGATTTTAATGATGAGACGCTGAGAACTGTATTTTATGATTTTAATTATTGATTGTTTTTATACGGTTTATACTATATGCAATTGTTTTTTACTGTATTTTATCTTGTGGGGCATTGTTTGCCAAATGTAAACCGCCTTGAGTCGCCTCCGGGCTGAGAGGGGCGGTATACAAGTTTAGTAAATAAATAAATAAATTTTGTGTGTGCCACGACTTCTGGGATTTGAGTGTGTTAAGGTAAGTCCTTCTCTGCTAACATGCATAAGTAGGATTGTGGTGCAGCTGGCTGAGTGTGAGCTGCATTAAGATCACTCTGACCAAAAGGTCATGAGTTCAAAGCTAGCCCGGGTTGGAGTGGGTTTCCAACCAATTGTGTAGCCTGTTGTCGACCTTTGCAACCCAAAAGACAGTTGCATCTGTCAAGTAGGAAAATTAGGTACCACCTTAAAGTGTGGGGAGGCTAAATTAACTGATTTATGAGGCCATAAAAAAGATTCCAGCAAAAAGCATGCGGGGAATGCGGAAGTACTTCATCAGTGTCGCAGATGACGATGAAAGGGACAGCTCCCCTGGTGGCCAGAAAAAGTTAAATAGCCTCTGTGTATGTCTGTATATGTTGTATGTCAAATTGGCATTGAATGTTTGCCATTTATTTATTTACTTATTTATTTACAGCTTTTATTCCGCCCTTCTCACCCCGCAGGGGACTCAGGGCGGATTACAGTGTACACATATATGGCAAACATTCAATGCCAATTTTTGACATACAAACATATACAGACATACACAGAGGCTATTTAACTTTTTCTGGCCGCCAAGGGAGCTGTTGCTTTCATCGTCCATCTGTGATGCTGATGAAGCACTTCTGCATTCTTCCCCGCTGGAATGCTTTGCTGGAGTCTTCTTTATGGCCTCATAAATCACTTAATTTAGCCTCCCCACACTTTTTTTAAGGTTGTACCTTATTTTCCTACTTGACAGATGCAACTGTCATTCGGGTTGCAAAGGTCGACAACAGGCTACACACAATTGGTTGGAAACCCACTCCAACCCGGGCTGGCTTCGAATTCATGACCTTTTGGTCAGAGTGATCTTAATGCAGCTGACACTCAGCCAGCTGCGCCACAATCCGCCCTGAGTCCCCTGCGGGGTGAGAAGGGCGGAATATAAATGCTGCAAATAAATAATAAATAAATAAATAGTGATTTCTGATGTCTTCCTCTACGGCAATGGTTCTCAACCTGTGGGTCCCCAAGTGTTTTGACCTATGACTCCCAGAAATATTTACAACTGGTAAACTGGCTGGGATTTCTGGGAGTTGTAGGTCAAAAACATCTGAGGACCCCAGGCAGCATCAGGATAAATCTGATTCTACAACTTCACCCTTCTTTTTGCCTCTGTAGGTCCTGAACTCCTCCACGGCCAAAGAAAAATATCCCATGTTCTCAGTTGTGGAGGGCTGTGCTCAGGAATATGGCTTGGAGGAGCTCTCTGCCCATTTCTCCCAGCAAAAAGTGCAGGCTCACCAGTCTAGCAGGCGAGGCAGGGCAAAAAAGCCCTCAACGGAGGATTTTGTTGTCTTATGATTGTTCTGGGAAGCCCCAACACCACACAGGCTTATTTATTTTTTATTTATCTAGCGGATGCAGGGCTGTAGTGGAGCTGCCTGGCTCTCAGGAGCTCCTATGTTGTACCTAGCGTGGACTGTCTTTGCTCTGCCGTGTTGCACCGTGATTTCCTCAGGGGAGAGACTGCAACTGAACTATCTTGAAGTTTGTGGGGACCTCTCCTCAATTAGAAGAAAGTCATAACACTGAAATAAGCCTGCTGAATATGGGCAAAGAATATTTAGCACTAAATGACTGTACAGGGCAAGAACCAAAGCCTTCAATGGAGAGAAAAAAGTGGGCAGCTACTGATGAGAGGAGGAAGATTATTGGGGTGAGTTCTAGGTTTCTCACTCTGCTGCTGAGATTCCAGGACTCCTGCTACTAGACTTCTACAACATGCTTAATCTCTTTTTTTTACACTGGAACCATCATAATGAAGGAAGTGAGGAACAGCATGGCCTTGTTTTATTTGGTGTCTGGTCTCTTTCATTGTGGAGAGAAGAGTCTGTGTTCACTTCAGCTGCAGGATGACAATTTCCTATGTTAGAAACTACAATTTCCTATGTTAGAAACTAAATACAATACTTAAAGCTCGTACTCCAAACAATTGTTCACCAATGAGGTAAATTAGGAAAACCAACACCAATAATGGTTGTTTAACAAGGTCTTGGGACATGATTTCAGAGCATGCAGGAGGACTTTCCCATTGGGCAGGGGCAAAAAAGAGTTAACAAAGGAGTCTGGTGTAATTTTGCAGAGACAACATCTTGGGACAAAGCCGTACACACCAGCGAACAACCACTGGAGCGTTTCACATTCAGCATGTTCGACTGCCGTGCCCTTCCCCTCCTGTCCCTCAATATTATGCCTAGAGAACTTTTTTCTGTCTCTGTTTTTTTTTCAAGCAGCAACTGGAGAGCAAGCTAGAGTGGGATAGCAAAGCTAGGCTGGGGTACTCCTCCACCTTTTTGTCAAGTTCTAGTGTTTGAACTCAGGGGTGTGTGCATCAGTGTCTTAGAACATTTCCTTCATAGGCAATACCTCCTCCCTGGTCTGTTTTAGTCAATAAAACTTCAACCTGGAAAAGTGTAGTACAAATTATTACATGTTGTTATTGTTGTTGTTGTTCATACGTTCAGTTGTTTCTGACTCTTTGTGACCTCATGAACCAGCCCACGCCAGAGCTTCCTGTCGGCCGTCACCACCCCCAGCTCCTTCAAGGTCAATCCAGTCACTTCAAGGATGCCATCCATCCATCTTGCCCTTGGTCGGCCCCTCTTCCTTTTTCCTTCCATTTTCCCCAGCATCATTGTCTTCTCTAAGCTTTCCTTTCTTCTCCTGATGTGGCCAGAGTACTTCATCTTGGCCTCTAATATCTAATTATTACGTAATGTGTTGAAATCTTTTTCTGTAGCCATTACTTTCATCGTATTCATCTCATCTTTTGACCCACCGCCTTGCTGTTGCGGGAGTCGGGGACAGCTTTAAACTGGCTGTCCTCCTTTCTTCACAACCGTGGAGAGGGGAGGCCTGGTCTCCCTCTATCTTCTGGGGTTCCTCAGGGGGCCATTCTCTCCCCTCTGTTGTTTAACATCTATATGCGACCACTTGCTCAGCTGGTTCGAGGTTTTGGGCTTGAGTACCATTACGCTGATGACACTCAGTTGGTGCTGAAGATGGAAGGCCAACCGGACTCTGTACCCGATTGTTTCCATCAATGCCTCGAGGCCATTACTGGATGGCTGCGTGCCAGCAGGTTGAGGGTGAATCCAGTAAAGACGGAGATCCTATGGCTGGATCGACCAGGCAGTGGGGATATCCAGCTGCTTACCCTGGATGGCGAGGTGCTATGCCCGTCATCATTGGTAAAGAGTCTGGGAATCCTTTTGGACCCTCTGCTGACGATGGAGGCCCAGGTCTCCGCCGTTAGCAGAACCGCCTTTTCTCATCTGCGGCAGGCTAGACGGCTGGCCCCCTACCTGTCCAGGGATGACCTAGCTACGGTGATCCAGGCTACGGTCATCTCAAGACTGGACTATGTAACGCCCTCTGCATTGGCCTTCCTCTGTCAGTGATCTGGAAGCTCAAGTTGGTGCAAAATGCAGCTGCTCAGCATGCGGGAATTCCAATGAGATGCCACATAGCACCAATCTTACTGCAGCTGCATTGGTTACCAATTGAGCACCGGATCACTTTCAAAGTGATGGTACTTACCTTTAAGGCCTTGCGTGGTCTGGGGCATATGTACCTGAGGGACAGCCTCACCCCCTACCAACCCCAGAGATCCCTCCGTTCTGAGGACCAAGATCTATTGGAAATTCCCAGTGTCAAGACCTTGCGTCTAACAGCAACCAGACACAGAGCCTTTACAGCAGTGGCACCATCGCTCTGGAATACTCTGCCACCTGAAGTCCGTGCCTTGCGGGACTTATCAGCTTTCCTCAGGGCATGTAAGACATACCTGTTTCGACAGGCCTTTGATTTTTGATATTGCTGTTTTTAATTTGTTTTTAATTGTTTTTAAATTGTATTAGATTTTAGCCGTTCTTGTAAGCCGCTCTGAGCCCCAGGGGAGTGGCGGCATATAAGTTCAAATAATTAATAAATAAATAAATAAATAAAGGTATCAGCATACACAAAATCCAGGCTATGGTTCTAAGTTACACAACTTGTTGTTTTTCTAAAGGGGGTGGGGGTTCCTTAACCAGCATCTTTCTAGGACAGCCATAGACTGCAGCTACAGGCTGCCATGCAAAAGTTCTGCCCTCCCATGTGTACTACTTTCTAGTTTTAAACAGTAGGTTGTTTTGTATTTGTAGACTTGACTTGACCTCTTGAATTGGAACCTGGTTGAGGTGAAGAAATTACTCCCTTGTCAAGCTGTGACAACTTTGCTGTATCTCGGGGTTGGAAATCGAGAACTATATGGCTTCTGCAAACAGAACGAACCTAGGTGGGCTGTCTTTGGAAGGTTGCTCCACTCACATGCATGGTTGGAATGCATTGCCTCCATCCAAAGGCAACTAATGAGGTGCATACATTATGGAGCAACTACTCCCAGACTCTTGGTAATTCTTGCACCGGGATTGTGGTGCAGCTGGCTGAGTGTCAGCTGCATTAAGATAACTCTTACCAAAAGGTCATGAGTTCGAAGCCAGCCCGGGTTGGAGTGGGTTTCCAACCAATTGTGTAGCCTGTTGTCGACCTTTGCAACCCGAAAGACAGTTGCATCTGTCAAGTAGGAAAATTAGGTACCACCTTAAAGTGTGGGGAGGTTAAACTAAATTAACTAATTTATGAGGCCATAAAAAAGACTCCAGCAAAGCACTCCAGCAAAAAAAGCATGCGGGGAATGCGGAAGTACTTCATCAGTGTCGCAGATGGACGATGAAAGCGACAGCTCCCCTGGCGGCCAGAAAAAATTAAATAGCCTCTGTGTATGTATGTATATGTTGTATGTCAAAATTGGCATTGAATGTTTGCCATATATGTGTACACTGTAATCCGCCCTGAGTCCCCTGCGGGGTGAGAAGGGCGGAATATAAATGCTGCAAATAAATAAATTCTGGTGTTCTACAGACTCCCTCTGGCCCTTTCCATTTAACCTAGAAATAAACTGGGCTATCCAGTGCTCTCTTCCAAGAACTCTATCACCCAAGAACTCTTGCACCACACTCTCATATCAACACACACAACAGAGCTCAACAGCATGTGATTTTCCTCTTACACTTTTTAGTGAGGCCATAATCTTAAACCTATAGGGACAAATAGAAAATTAAAGTTACATTATAAAATAACTTCTCCATTATTACAATCATAACATTGAAATGCCTTTTGTTTTGGAGAAACTGGTGAATAACAAGCGGCCAGTTAGTTGTAGTTAGTGGCACACTGAATTACCCACAGTGACAAATGGGCCCACTGCTTTGTCTTCCTTTGTTGTTGGAAAACTTAAAGGAAAGGTAGGCATGATGTCAAGCATTGCCACCTATAAATGAAATCCATGGTTGTATTGTCCACATTTAAAGGAGCCATGGGGACAGGGGCGGCTCAACCCCATTACGCAAAGTAAGCATTCGCAGTATAGTTGATTTTGCCCAGGGGTGCTCTTGAGGCGCTCTTGGGGGAAAATAGGCCTTGACATATGCGAGTTGTAGTTACTGGGATGTATAGTTCACCTACAATCAAAGAGCATTCTGAACTCCACCAATTATGGAATTGAACCAAATATGGCACACAGAACTCCCACGACGAACAGAAAATATATATCAGTGATTGGTTGGGGGGGGGGGGGGGGGGCAAAATACTGTTTGCTTACCGTTGAAAATTACCTAGGGCCACCTCTGCATGGGGATGAGATGACATACATGATGAGATGTCCTTCCTGTCATTTTCCCCATCCATATGAGAAAAGATTCTAATTTAATGACTCTATCCCCAACCTGGTTTATCTTGCAAAGTCTCAAATGTCATCATCCCCAAGGGGTACGGCACCAATGGTCAAGGAGTGGAAGATCTGGCAAATGAGCAAGATTTGTTCTCAGCCTCCCAAACAGCAGCTCCCTGGCACCCTCACTATGTAGTCGGGAGTGGGCGCATGTCCTTTCCATACTGTTTGTAGTATAGATATGCATGATACTGGAGTTCAGGCAAGACCAGGCGGAAGCAACTACTATATTGGGCATAGGTGAGGTTCTGCTTTAATCGGTAGCCCAAAATAGTGACACTGCTCGGCTGCCAAGGCCGCAGGGCATCAGCTGTGTCCCCTGGTCCAACTGAATCTTCTGCCAGGCACCTGGCCACAGTCTCCCGCAGTAAGGCCCGAAAGGTATCCAGTTCTCGCTTCATGCGCATGTAGCCATAACGCTCCACTTTGTGCCACAAAATCCTTTGGAAAAACTTGTAGAGCTGCATATCAAACCAGTTCCAAGCCTGGATCTTTTGGGCTAGTTCCTTCGAGAGAGGTTCCCCTTCCTTATGACGGACATTGAGCTTGACATAGATCAGCTCTTCCATGTTCAGCCCTAACAACTCCCGTGCCAGGAGAAGAGACTCGTCAAAATGCTCAGCAATCATCACCAGATGAAAGGTCCGGTTGAGCTTCTCCAGCTCCACGGACCACTCACTACTGGCTGCTTCTTCCTCCCTTGGACTCAGTCCCAGGTCAAAGGCCATGGGGTTTCTGGCCAGACCATTGCTGGCGTCCTGTGCATTGTAGTACTGAGCTGACGCTTCAAGAAAAGCCAGCAGGGGGCTGGAGTGGTTAGCCAATGGCTGGAAGGCAGGCACCATGTTGAGGTAATAGTGGAAGACAGACTCAAAAGTCTGCACTGGGTGGCGTAAGATGGTCAGGAAGATACTACGGGAGGGCATGATGGCTCTAACTTCCCCAACATCCAACCTCATGTGGCTGCAAAGAAGGTTAAAGTGGGTCGCCCCAGGCGGAATATCCTCTACAAACGCTCTGGAGAAGCGCTCTGGGTAAGCAAACTGATAGGAGTAGAGGGGGAAAGCCACAGTCAGGTTGCGTCGCTCACTGGCCCGAAAAAGGATGTTTTGCACTGTGCTGCTGCCTGTTTTGTGGGTCTTCAGGAAGACAATGTTGAGATCTCCTGGCTTCTCTGAGACAGGTTTTTCTGCCACATGCCGAACAGCCAGGGTGTGAGTAGAAGTACTCTTTGGCTGCAAACTCAATAATTCTTCCTTCGGATTGAGATGGAGAACCTCTCTGCAAGAGAAGGCCAGAGAAGCAGTTACTTTGCAATGTAGAGGGGCTTCTCATAAGTGTAGCAGTGTATGGCAAGGACAGAGATGGTTGTCAAAGGGACAAAACGGCCTAAAGTACCAACTGTTGTAGTTTACAAATGACTAAGATCATTGGGTTGTTGTAGGTTTTTTCGGGCTGTATGGCCATGCTCTAGAGCAGGGGTCCTCAAACTAAGGCCCATGAGCTGGATACGGCCCTCCAAGGTCATTTACCCGGCCCTCGCTCAGGTTCAACCTAACAACAACAATCCTATTTCATCAGCCAAAAGCAGGCCCACACTTCCCATTGAAATACTAATAAGTTTATATTTGTTAAAATCGTTCTTCATTTTAATTATTGTATTGTTTTTAAGTGTTTTTTGCACTACAAATAAGATATGTGCAGTGTGCATAGGAATTCATTCATGCTTTTTTTTCAAATTATAATTCAGACCTCCAACAGTTTGAGGGACTATGACCTGGCCCTCTGTTTGAAAAGTTTGAGGACCCCTGGTCTAGAGGCATTCTCTCCTGACGTTTCGCCTGCATCTATGGCAAGCATCCTCAGAGGTAGTGAGGTCTGTTGGAACTAAGAAAAAGGGTTTATATATCTGTGGAATGACCAAGGACTCAGCCCACTTCATAGAAAAAAAAATCAGCAATCTCAAGTTAAATACCAACGACAAATTGATCAGCTTCGATGTGGTGTCTCTATTTACCATGGTCCTGGTAGCAGACACCATTGCACTAATCAACCAGAGGTTCCCAGAAGACATCACAGCTCTGTTTCACCATTGCCTCACCACCAGCTACTTTCAGTGGGACAATGAATTCTACGAACAGAAAGATGGAGTAGCTATGGGGAGCCCTCTCAGCCCAGTCATAGCTAATTTCTACATGGAACACTTTGAAAAACAAGCCCTGGAAACAGCAACCAAAAAGCCCACTATATGGTTCAGATATGTGGATGACACTTTCACCATTTGGAGCCATGGAGAAGAAGAACTCAACAGGTTCCTGGAACATCTTAACAGCATCCACCCAAACATCCAGTTCACCATGGAAAAAGAAAAGGAAGGAAGACTGCCTTTTCTAGATGTCCTAGTCATCCGCAAACCAGATCAACAATTGGGTCACACCGTCTACAGAAAACCCACACACACAGATAGATATCTACATAAAAACTCCAACCATCACCCAAGTCAAAAAAGAAGCACCATTAAAGCCTTGGCAGACCGTGCAAAAGAATCTGCGAACCCCACCTCCTCCAAGATGAACTGAACCACCTCAACTGGGCTCTCCAGGCCAAAGGATACTCCACCTCAGACATCAGAAGAGCTGCAAGACCAAGAACAAGCCACGAGAGTAAAGATGAAGATCCACCCAGAGGAAAAGTGTTCTTGCCATACATCTAGGGAACCACTGACCGCATAGGGAAGCTGATGAGGAAACACAACATACAAACTACCTACAGACCCACCAAGAAAATCCAACAAATGCTACGTTCAGCAAAGGACAAGAGGGATCCCTCTCACTTCTGCAGGAGTCTACCGTGTACCATGCAGCTGTGGACAAGTCTACATAGGGACCACCAAACGCAGCATTGCCCAAACACAAATCAAGGAACATGAAAGGCACTGCAGACTACTTCAACCAGAGAAGTCAGCCATAGCAGAGCACCTGATGAACCAGCCTGGACACAGCATATTATTTGAGAACACAGAAATGCTGGACCACACCAACAACCACCATGTCAGACTACACAGAGAAGCCATTGAAATCCACAAGCATGTGGACATTTCAACAGAAAGGAAGAGACCATGAAAATGAACAAAATCTGGCTACCAGTATTAAAAAACTCTAAAATTAGAACAGCACAACAACAGAGAGGAAACAAACAAGGACAACTAATCACCTCTCAACAAAAGATTGCTCCAGGCACTGCCAGGCAATCAAATGCTAATCAGGGTGGTCAGTTGAAACATTCACACCTAGCTCCAGCAGACAAGAGTCCTTTGTCCCACCCTGGTCATTCCACAGATATATAAACCCTTTTTCCTAGTTCCAACAGACCTCACTACCTCTGAGGATGCTTGCCATAGATGCAGGCGAAACGTCAGGAGAAATGCCTCTAGAACATGGCCATATAGCCCGAAAAAACCTACAACAACCCAGTGATTCCGGCCATGAAAGCCTTCGACAATACATTGAACAGAAAATCTTTGGTGACCAGAAACTCTAAATATTTTTCTAATTTGGATTATAAGGAACATAATTCTGCCTTCTGGATCAGAACCAAACATGGCTGTTATATTCCTATGTTTTGGTGGACTCCAAGAAAGGATTTGAAGAGTATCCACGTAGCAGGGACAAACTGGAGACACTCAGAAAGCATCCGGGTTTATAAAAATGCCATCCCAGTTTATGTTTGTTTTCATCGCTTCTAAAACTTGGTTATAGCTTTTTGTTCTTAACTGAGGGTTTCCTATGAGCAGAGGTTATTTAAAACATTGAGCCTGTTGCAACAGTCTTTGCTGTCCGCCAGATGTAAACACTCTCTGAATTCAAGGAAGTGTGCATCTAGTAACAGATTATGGAGTTGATTCAAAGAAGAAGAAGAATCATAGAGTTAGAAGAGATCTCATGGGCCATCCAGTCTCACCCCCTGCCAAGAAGCAGGAATATTGCATTCAAAGCACCCCTGACAGATGGCCATCCAGCCTCTGTTTAAAAGCTTCCAAAGAAGGAGCCTCCACCACGCTCCAGGGCAGAGAGTTCCACTGCTGAACGGCTCTCACAGTCAGGAAGTTCTTCCTCATGTTCAGATGGAAGGAAGGCAAAGCCAAACCTCCTTTGAACCAGTTCTGCTGCGGAAACCAAGAGAAGAAGAAGAAGGAAGAGGAGGAGGAGGAGGAAGAAAGAAGAAGAAGAGAGGAGGAGGAGGAGGAAAGAAGAAGAAGAGGAGGAGGAGGAGGAGGAAGAAGAAGAAGAAGAGGAGGAGGAAGAAAGAAGAAGAAGAGGAGGAGGAGGAGGAGGAAGAGCAAAGAAGAAAGGAGCCTCCACCACACTCTGGGCGGAGAGTTCCACTGCTGAAGGGCTCTCCCTCGCAGTCAGGAAGTTCTTCCTCAGGTTCAGGTGGAATCTCCTTCCTTTCTTGTAGTTTGAAGCTACAGATGGCCACCCAGTCTCTGTTTCAAAACCTCCACCACACTCCTGTGGCAGAGAGTTCCACTGCTGAACAGCTCCCACAGTCAGGAAGTTCTTCCTCATGTTCAGATGGAAGAGGAGGAGGAGGAGGAGGAAAGTGGAGGAGGAAGACAGACAGAAGAAAGGTAGAAGGAGCCTCCACCACACTCTGGGGCAGAGAGTTCCACTGCTGAACGCTCTCACAGTCAGGAAGTTCTTCCTCATGTTCAGATGGAAGAGGAGATGGAGGAGGAGGAGGAGGAGGAGGCGGCGGCGGCGGCAGCAGCAGCTTTGGTTAGACCACACCTGGAATATTGTGTCCAATTCTGGGCACCACAATTGAAGAGAGATATTGACAAGCTGGAATGTGTCCAGAGAGGGCGACTAAAATGATCAAGGGTCTGGGAGAACAAGCCCTATGAAGAGCGGCTTAAGGAGCTGGCATGTTTAGCCTGAAGAAGAGAAGGCTGAGAGGAGACATGATAGCCATGTATAAATATGTGAGAGGAAGCCACAGGGAGGAGGGAGCAAGCTTGTTTTCTGCTTCCCTGGAGACTAGGACGCAATGGAACAATGGCTTCAAACTACAAGAGAGGAGATTCCATCTGAACATGAGGAAGAACTTCCTGACTGTGAGAGCCGTTCAGCGGTGGAACTCTCTGCCCCAGAGTGTGGTGGAGGCTCCTTCTTTGGAAGCTTTTAAACAGAGGCTGGATGGCCATCTGTCAGGGGTGATTTGAATGCTTTTCCTGCTTCTTGGCAGGGGTTGGACTGATGGTCCATGAGGTCTCTTCCAACTCTGATTCTATGAAACTGATCTTACATTAATATACTGGGATTTATAGTTCACCTACATTCAAAGAGCATTCTGAACCCCACCAAATGACAGAATTGGGGCAAACTTCCCACACAGAACCCCCATGACAACAGAAAATACTTAAGTCCATCCAGTCCAACTCCCTTCATCAGGGCAAGAAAATGTAATCAAAGTCCTCCTGACAAAGAGCCATCCAGCCATAGATATAGATAGATAGATAGATAGATAGATAGATAGATAGATAGATAGATGATTCACACACACACATATAGTGTTATAGATTTGAAAGGGACCCCTAAAGAAGGACAAAGATATGTTGCATGTTCCAGAGTAGGCAAACCAGACAATTTCCACATCAACACTGACAAAGAAACAACAAGAAATACTGTTTACCCACAAGCATTACGTATATTAGAAACCAACACTTTCTCATTACTGTATTTTCCAGATTAACAGACTGGGCCACAGCAAAGCGTGGCAGGGGATGGCTAGAATATATAATATTATATATATACACACACACACACATACACACACACACTGATTCTAAAACATTCAACTTATTATTATTATTATTATTATTATTATTATTATTTACTTTACTTAACCCCGTCTTTCTCACCCCGACACACACTAATTTCTGGATCAACAGCATATGTGTGTGTGTGTGTGTGTGTGTGTGTGTGTGTGTGTGTGTATTCTGGGAGCCCCCGGTGGCGCAGTGGGTTAAAGCACTGAGCTGCTGAGCTTGTTGATCGAAAGGTTGCAGGTTCGATTCCGGGGAGAGGCTTCCGCTGTCAGCCCTAGCTTCTGCCAACCTAGCAGTTCGAAAACAGTCAAATGTGAGTAGATCAATAGGTACCGCTCCGGCGGGAAGGTAACGGCGCTCCATGCAGTCATGCCGGCCACATGACCTTGGAGGTGTCTACGGACAACGCTGGCTCTTTGGCTTAGAAATGGAGATGAGCACCACACCCCAGAGTCAGACATGACTGGCCTTAATGTCAGGGGACTACCTTTACCTTATATATATTCTACTATTGATCCAGAAATTAGTGTGTGTCTTATCAATGGCATCTTCTAAGCGAAGAAATACAGTATTTATTTGGAAGTTTGTTGTTGTTTTTTTGTCGTGTCAGGAGTGACTTGAGAAACTGCAAGTCGCTTCTGGTGTGAGAGAATTGGCCGTCTGCAAGGACGTTGCCCAGGGGACGCCCAGATGATTTGATGTTTTTATCATCCTTGTGGGAGGCTTCTCTCATGTCCCCGCATGAGGAGCTGGAGCTGATAGAAGGAGCTCATCCACCTCTCCCCGGATTCGAACCTGCGACCTGTTGGTCTTCAATCCTGCCAGCACAGGGGTTTAACCCACTGCGCCACCGAGGGCTCCTATTTGGAAGTGAAGAAATACAGTATTTGCCTTCTACAATTAAGGCAGGAAACAGCTCTAAAATAAAATAATAATAATAATAATAATAGAAATCCCACCACCACCACATTAAAAAAAACTAGGCTGACATACTATTCCGTGGATAAAGAGCCTTATGAAGCTCACCATGACCACCACCACTACTCCGCTCCCAAACACTCACTCTTTGGTCAGTTGTCGAAGGAGCAGCATCAGAAGTAGCAAGATGGTGGCCAGTAGCCAAGCGCGGTGCTTCCAGATCACGACTGAGAAGTAGAAGCAGTTCATCTTCTCCAGTTCCCCAAGGTGGCAGCGGCAGCACCCCTTTGGGAGACAGAGGGACCTTGGTCCAGATGCTCCCTGAAAAGACAGACTGAGACTCCCCGGGACAGCCCAGGACCCAGCAGCCAACAAACCCAGCCTTTGATTGGGCAGCCATTTAAGCCTCTCAGGCGATGGGTGCCTTGCCTCGCTTCACCTCTCTAAGGCGGCTCATAACCTCCACAGACCATTGAGACATGCCGCAGCCAAAGAAGCAGATGGACGAGTCAAAGCCGTAGGCCCAAGGGAGTAACTGTTTCAAACTAGGGCCTGAAGTATCCCATGAGGAGGATGAGACCAGCTTCCCAAGAGGCAAAGGATGCCCAAATCTGATACAAAGAAGCCCCCAAACAGGTCCTAAACTTGGGGCTGAATTTATGAAGCCAAGGAGTGACATAGTTGCAGCAGGGGCGGCTCAACCATTACACAAAGTAAGCATTTGCAGTATAGTTGATTTTGCCCAGGGGCGCTCTTGAGGCGCTCTTGGGGGAAAATAGACCTTGACATATGCGAGTTGTAGTTACTGGGATGTATAGTTCACCTACAATCAAAGAGCATTCTGAACTCCACCAATGATGGAACAGAACCAAATATGGCACACATTGGTTGGCGGGGGGTACCAAAATACTGTTTGCTTACTGTTGAAAATTACTTAGGACCGCCTCTGGGCCATACCACCTCTACTGAAAAATGTCCAGAGAAGGAGACTCCACCAGACTGAAGCAGCATATGCCACTGTCTGAAACAACTTGAATGCACACAACAACAACAATCCTAATCAGGGCCATAGCCAGAAAAAAGTTTCGGGAGGGGTTGAAAATTTCGGGGGGGGAGGGGTTGAAACCTGCCTCCTAGCTCACGCTGAAGCAAAGAGCACAGCAGGGGGCAGAGCAGCCTTCAATAGCCTGCAGCTCCGCCCTTGTCAACCACCTCCACCAAGTCTGGCCTCCTTAATGAGAGCATTCAACATCCCCCCCCCCCAACTTGGTTGCTTCACTACTGTTCTGTCGCTGGGCCTGTAAATAATTGTCTTTAGAACAGGATGTGCAACCTTTGCCCAGCGGGAAGCCAGGGGGCTAAAGAGAAGTTCTCAGAGGTTTCCACCACAAACAGTCTTTAGATGGCTTGAGAAGTACAACAAAGTCTTTTATTAATGAACAATCAAACAGAAACTTCTCTTGTCTTCAGTAAAGTTAAGCAAATGATTCCAAGCTTTTAGGCAACTGGTGAATTCCTAATCTTGCCCACGAAGGACAGGCAACTGTCTTCAATAACTTCTTCTTTAAAGGAAAATCCTCGTTTTAACTTCTCCCAGGCTGACTGTAATCTAACCCTTACTGATGTGGGCTCCGCTACCGGGTCGAACTGCGTCTCGAACGCCGAGTGGACCTACCAGTAAAGGCTTAGATGTTCTCCAGCTGGAGTTCTTTGGTCTTTAGGGCTGTTTTCCTGGAAATTCTTTGGAGACTCTTAAGACCTTTCTCCCCCAGAAGGTCTTAAGGGTTGAAGCTTTTGTACAGGGGAAGCTTGCACACATCCTATACATAAGCTTACCTTGCTGAGACTAACTAAAAATGGCTCCCTTCCCTTCCCAATTGCCCTGAGCAAGGGCGGACCAAAACTTAACAATGATGGACAGGTGACTTGCCCTATGACTGCAACCAAAGAAGCCACCTATCTGCAGAGTCCCTGAAACCTAGGACTGCAAGCAAACATTTAATATAAAGCAAATAAAGTTGGAGCTCCTGGTACAGCTGTACCAGAACAACTACATCGGCTATTGCTGCAAGTAATGACAGTGTGAATAAATTGCCAATATTTGCTTGAGATAGTGCTTGCAGTTCTGGAGGGACTCTTATTTTGCATCTCATAGACTTAGCATGGGGATTTGGTTAACCAGTTAAATTCATGAGTAAACCAGGTTTTTTTTAAAAAAAAAAATCTGAAACATTTCAGGGGGGGGGTTGAACCCCTAACCCCCCCTCCTCGCTACGGGCCTGATCCTAATTAACTTTACTCTCTCATCAATCAAAAGCAGACCCACACTTCTCATTAAAAGGCTGGTATGTTTATGTTTATATAAAAGATAAAGGTTTTCCCCTGACATTAAGTCCAGTCGTGTCCAACTCTGGGGGTTGGTGTTCATCTCTATTTCTTAGCCGAAGAGCCGGCGTTGTCCGTAGACATCTCCAAGGTCATGTGGCCAGCATGACTGCATGGTATCTATTGATCTACTCACATTTGGATGTTTTCAAACTGCTAGGTTGACAGAAGTTGGGGCTGACAGCAGGAGGTCATGCTGTTCCCCGGATTCAAACCTGTGACCTTTCGGTCAATAAGTTCAGCAGCTCAGTGGTTTAGCCCACTGTGCCACCAAGGGCTCCTTTGTCTTATATATTGTATTATTATTTCATGATTATTATTATTTTGCACTACAAATAAAGACATATGCGGTGTGCATAGGAATGCATTCATGTTTTTTTCAAACTATAGCCTGGCCCCCAACAGAGTGAGGGGCCGTGAATTGGCCCTTAGCTTAAAATGTTTGGACACTCCTGTCATAGAGTCTCAACCAATTCAATGTAGTTTGTTTTATTTTTGCTCATAAATTTGGGGGGGGGGGGGGTTTGTTTTTTTTTTTTTTTTTTTTTTTTCTTATAAATCGTGTTTTTTTTGCAAACTTTGTGTTTTGTTTGTTTTTTGTTTGTTTGTTTGTTTTGTTTTTTGCAGAATTGCCCCCCCTTCTTTCCTTCAATGTCTAGAGCAGTGTTTCTCAACCTGGGGGTCGGGACCCCTGAGGGGGTGCGAGGGGTGTCAGAGGGGTCGCCAAAGACCATCAGAAAACACTGTATTTTCTGATGGTCATGGGGATTCCATGTTGGAAGATTGAGCCAATTCCATCATTGGTGGAGTTCAGAATGCTGTTTGATTGTAGGTGAACTATAAATCCCAGCAACTACAACTCCCAAATGTCAAGGTCTATTTTCCCTCAACTCCACCAGTGTTCACATTTGGGCATATTGAATATTCGTGCCAAGTTTGGTCCAGATCCATCATTGTTTGAGTCCACAGTGCTCTCTGGATGTAGGTGAACTACAACTCCCAAACTCAAGGTCAATGCCCATCAAGCCCTTCCAGTATTTTCTGTTGGTCATGGGAGCCAAGTTTGGTTCAAATCCATCACTGGTGGAGTTCAGAATGCTCTTTGATTATAAGTGAACTATAAATCCCAGCAACTACAACTCCCAAATTACAAAATCAATCCTCCCCCAACCCCACTAGCATTCACATTTGGATGTATTGGGTATTTGTGCCCAGTTTGGTCCAGTGAATGAAAATACATCCTGCTATCAGATATTTACATTATGATTTATAACAGTAGTAAAATGACTGTTATTAAGTAGCAATGAAAACAATATTATGGTTGGGGGTCACCACAACATGAAGGACTGTATTAAGGGGTCATGGCATTAGGAAGGTTGAGAACCACTGGTCTAAGGAAATTGTTGTGAAGCTAGATTTGGCACTGGCTCATGCATTCGCAAGGGTGCAATGGGCATTTAGAGTTGCAGGGAGCACACTAACTGCAGCCCAGCCATCTCTAATGAGGAGGCTTTAACTGGCTGCACAGTATTATTCATTACCCCCCCCCCCCCCCCTGAGATGTCGCAAATAATAGTCTAAAATGATGCAAGACAGAGTTGTTGCACTTGAAATGCCAATGAACAAAGCAGCCCCATGTTTAGCTGGCATATTGCCACCCACATGGACGATCCCTCTCTTTGTCTGGCTGCCACATTGTCCAATACACCTCAGACTTGCACCAGCCAAGCAATACACCCACCTCAGGATTAAAGATCCCAAATCCAGTTTTAATGCCATCAGCAAGCTGCCTTAGCAAGTTCCCCCAAGGTCGCAGTGTACAAAAGCCGGCAGGAGACACCTGCTTTCTGTGGTCTGTCTGGGAAATGGAGGTGGAATCCCCTCACTTGATGGCTTCAGGCATGCCATGTAGAGCAGCATTTCTTGGACCTGTGGTGCACTGAAGAGTAGACCCACTGTTCCTCTGGAGGGGCGAAAGCTATTCTGAGATTCAAGGAATCATAGAATCATAGCGTTGGAAGAGACCTCATAGGCCATCCAGTCCAGCCCCCTGCCAAGAAGCAGGAATATTGCATTCAAATCACCCCTGACAGATGGCCATCCAGCCTATGTTTAGAAGGTTCCAAAAAAGGAGCCTCCACCACACTGCGGGGCAGAGAGTTCCACTGCTGAACAGCTCTCACAGTCAGGAAGTTCTTCCTCATGTTCAGATGGAATCTCCTCTCTTGTAGTTTGAAGCCATTGTTCTGCGTCCTAGTTTCCAGGGTAGCAGAAAACAAGCTTGCTCCCTCCTCCCTGTGGCTTCCTCTCACATATTTATACAGGGCTATCTGCTGGTATAGCTGTACCAGGAGCTCCAAATTTATTTGCTTTGTATTAAATGTTTGCTTGCAGTCCAAGGTTTCAGGGACTCTGCAGATAGGTGGCTTCCTTTGGTTGCAATCATAGGGCAAGTCATCATTAAGTTTTGGTTCCGCCCCTTGCTCAGGACAATTGGGAAAGGAAGGGAGCCATTTTTAGTCAGTCTCAGCAAGGATAACTAATGTACAGGACGTGTGCAAGCTTCCCCTGTAGAAAAGCTTCAACCCTTAAGACCTTCCGGAGAACAGTCTTAAGAGTCTCCAAAGATTTCCAGGAAAACAGCCCTAAAGACCAAAAAACTCCAGCTGGAGAATATCTAAACCTTTACTGGTAGGTCCACTCGGTGCTTCGAGACGCAGTTCGACCCGGTAGCGGAGCCCACATCATTAAGGGTTAGATCACAGTCAGCCTGGGAGAAGGTAAAAAGGGGTTTTTCCTTTAAAGTAAAGAAGAAGTTATTGAAGACAGTTGCCTGTCCTTTGTGGGCAAGATTAGGAAGTCACCAGTTGCATAAAGCCTGGAAGCATTTGTTTAGCTTTACTGAAGACAAGAGAAGTTTCTGTTTGATTGTTCATTAATAAAAGACTTTGTTATACTTCACAAGCCATCTAAAGATCATTTGTGGTGGAAAACCTCTGAGAACTTCTCCTTGGGCCCCCTGGCTTCCCGCTGGGCAAAGGTTGCACGTCCTGTTCTAAAGGAAATTCTTTACAGGCCCAGCACGCAACAGAACAGCTATCATGTCTCCTCTCAACCTTCTCTTCTTCAGGCTAAACATGCCCAGCTCCTTAAGCCGCTCCTTATAGGGCTTGTTCTCCAGACCCTTGATCATTTTAGTTGCCCTCCTCTGGACACATTCCAGCTTGTCAATATCTCTCTTGAATTGTGGTGCCTAGAATTGGACACAATATTCCTGGTGTGGTCTAACCAAAGCGGAATAGAGGAGTAGCATGACTTCCCTAGATCTAGACACTATGCTCCCATTGATGCAGGCCAAAATCACATTGACTTTTTTGCTGCCGCCTCACATTGTTGACTCATGTTTAACTTGTTGTCCATAAGGACCCCAAGTTAAAGGTGATCGATCACTCGGTCACAAGTGATCACTTATGATGATAGCAGGGCAATATGTGCACTGCTGCAAAACCTCCTCCCTCTTCCTAATGCTCTAATATCTACCATCCAAATCCATCCAGGAGCCCCCGGTGATGCAGTGGGTTAAACCCCTGTGCCGGCAGGACTGAAGACCGACAGGTCGCAGGTTCGAATCCGGGGAGAGGCGGATGAGCTCCCTCTATCAGCTTCAGCTCCTCATGCGAGGACATGAGAGAAGCCTCCCACAAGGATGGTAAAACATCAAAAAAAAAATCCGGCCATCCCCTGGGCAACGTCCTTGCAGATGGCCAATTCTCTCACACCAGAAGCGACTTGCAGTTTCTCAAGTTGCTCCTGACACGACAAAAAAATAATATCCAAATGCATTCTTTTCACAAGGTTTATACCACAGTCCAAATGCATCCAGGAGCCCCCGGTGATGCAGTGGGTTAAACCCCTGTTGCGGCAGGACTGAAGACCGACAGGTCGCAGTTTCAAACCTGGGGAGAGCGCAATACATCAACATCATCTTGGCAACCTCCCTAAGAGTGGCTGATGCTGAAAATGCATTTTATTACCAAAGCCCTGCTCCTAAACTGGTCAGGAGAACATATGGAAGGGTTGGGAAGCACACTTCTGTTTGAGTGGGGTAGAAAAGACAGCAATTTTGAGAAAAAGAGCTCATGAAAGATGTGAATGATCAGATCAAATCAACAGAAAGAGCAATGAGACATATTTGAAAAAGAAGTATGTATTTGGACGACTCTACAAACAAGATACAAAGGGCTCAAAGTGAAGGAGAACAGGAATCCAGCTGAGGTGCCCCATTTGTAGCCGGTCCACAAGCACCCTCTTATGCCTCTGGGGCCCAAGAAAGAAGACTCAAAGTGCCAAAGTATCCATGTCCAGGTAAACAGAGATGCTCTCCAAACCCAAAACAGGTTGAAATGTATTTTCTCCATTACTTTGGCTGTGTCGTTTTGCCCCCTGAAGTCTGTCCAGGCCCCCCCAACGTCTTCTTCCTCCGCTTCTCACGGAGCAGCTGGCGGTAGTGCAAGCGCTTAGGGTTGAGCCCATAGGCCTGGAGCCGCTGGCGGCTGAACTCTGCACCCCCCACCCGCACTTTGGTGCCCAGCACCAACCCCTTCCGCCCTCTCTTCTTCTTTGGTCTCTGAATGCTGGGTTGTGCAGAACAAGGGGTGCCTGAAGGAGCGGCTTCTGACTCCTTGCGTGCCGCTGGGGTCGCTTCACTTTGGGCAGTTCGCTTTGGAAGTAGGAGTCCTTCTTCTTCCTCACAAGCAAGGCTGTCTTGTTGCATCTCTTGAGCAGGCAGCTCGTGACGCTTGGCCTTCTCCCTGCTCTTCTTCCCTTTCTTGCTCTGAGATTTCTTGACATCTTCCGCTTCCTCTGGCCTGCAAGTAAACAAATCAAAACTATTCACTCTTAGAGATACTATTGCATTGCAGAAGGAAAAACCTGGTGTCAAGGGACATGCTACAAAGTGAACAGTAATTTTATTTATTTATTTAAAACATTTATATTCCGCCCTTTTCACCCCGAAGGGGACTCAGGGACATGCTCAGCATATACACGGCAAACATTCAATGACAGAACAAGAATTCATATATGCATACATAAACATTAAAAACATTTATCTCAATATTAAAATACAACATTTAAAACCGTCCTCGTCATTAGCGTCAAATCTAATTGGCCTGGTAATCTTTCCTATTGCTGCTTTATTGCCCTGTCCCGAAAGCTTGGTCCCCCAGCCAAGTTTTTACCATCCTTCTAAAGGACAGGAGGGAGGGGGCCGACCTGATCTCACCAGGAAGGGAGTCCCAAAGGCGGGGGCAATCACCGAGAAGGCCCTGTCTCTCATCCCCACCAATCGTGCCTGTGACAATGGCAGGACAGAAAGCAGTGCCTCCCCAGAGGATCTTAATCTCTGCGATGGTTCATAGGGGGAGATGCGTTCTGACAGGTAAATTGTACCGGGGCCGTTTAGGGCTTTATAGGCCAAAGCCAGCACTTTGAATTGTTCCCGGTAGCAAACTGGCAGACAGTGGAGCTGGCGTAACATGGAAGTTGTATGCTCCCTGTATGCCACGCGTTATTAACCTGGCTGCTTCTCATTGGACTATTTGAAGCTTCCAAGCAGTCTTCAAAGGCAACCCCATGTAGAGTGCGTTGCAGTAGTCTATCCTGGATGTAATCTCAGCTCAGAATCAAATGTCAGATTTCAAAGCAAACTAAAAGAAAGTGGGCTGTTGTGTGGTTTCCCAGCTGTATGGCTGTGTCCTAGCAGCATTTTCTCCTGATATTTCACCTGCGCCCGGTGGCGCAGTGGGTTAAACTCCTGTGCCGGCAGGACTGAAGACCGACAGATCGCAGGTTTGAATCTGGGGAGAGGCGGATGAGCTCCCTCTATCAGCTCCACCTCCTCATGCGGGGACATGAAAGAAGCCTCCCACAAGGATGATAAAACATCAAATCATCCAGGCGTCCCCTGGGCAACGTCCTTGCAGACGGCCAATTCTCTCACACCAGAAGCGACTTGCAATTTCTCAGGTCGCTCCTGACATGACCAAAAAAAAACTTGCATCTGTGGCTGACATCTATCCTCTGAAGATGCCAGCCACTGATGCAGGTGAAACATCTGGTGAAAATGCTGCTAGAACACAACCATACAGCCCAGAAACCACACAACACCCCAGCAATTCCAGCCATTAAAGTCTTCAATAATACATGAAAAGAAACTGCACTCAGATAGTTGCCCATGGTTGGCATTGAATATGCTATTCACTCTAGTAAAGTGTTTCTCAACCTAGGGGTCGGGACCCCTGGGGGATCGCGAGGTGGTTTCAGAGGGGTCACCAAAGACCATCAGAAAACACAGTATTTTCTGTTGGTCACAGGTGTTTTGTGTGGGAATGCTCTTTGATTTTAGGCAAACTAGAAATCCCAGCAACTACAACTCCCAAATGTCATCTTTTCCCCAAACTACACCAGTGTTCACATTTGGGCATACTGACTATTTGTGCCAAGTCTGGTCCAGATCCATAATTGTTTGAGTCCACAGTGCTTTCTGGATGTAGGTGAACTACAACTCCAAAACTCAAGGTCGATGCCCACCAAACCCTTCCAGTATTTTCTGCTGAACATGGGAGTTCTGTATGCCAAGTTTGGCTCAATTCCATCATTGGTGGAGTTCAAAATGCTCTTTGATTGTAGGCAAGCTATAAATCCCAGCAATTACAACTCCCAAATATCAAGGTCTATTTTCCCAAAACTCCACCAATGTTCACATTTGGGCATATTGTGTATTTGTGCCAAGTTTGGTCCAGATCCACCATTGTTGAGTCCAC